GGAAGGGTAAACAAAGGAGGAGGCTGCAATGTTTGGTAAGAAATGTACGCATTATGCTGCCCATGCAATTGTAACCCCTCTGTACAGTATGTTCACAAATAAAATAAAATTAAATTAAAAAAAATTAAATTAAATTAAATTAAAAAAAAAAACTGAACAGGGCCAGGCGCTGGTGGCTCACGCCTGTCATCCTTGCTACTCAGGAGGCTGAGATCTGAGGATCACGGTTCAAAGCCAGCCCAGGCAGGAAAGTCCATGGGACTCTTATCTCCAATAAACCACTAGAAAACCAGAAGTGGAGCTGAATCAGAGTGCAGGACAGCGCCCAAGCCCAGAGTTCAAGCCCCATGACCGACCAAAAAAAAAAAAAAACTGGGCTGGGAAGATGGCTCAGTGGTAGAGCGCTTGCCTTGCATGCATGAGGCCCTGGGTTCGATTCCTCAGCACCACATAAGCAGAAAAAAGAAAAGCCGGAAGTGGTGCTGTGGCTCAAGGGATAGCACACTAGCTGAGGACAGCGCTCAGGCCCAGAGTTCAGGCCCCATGATTGGACCAAAAAAAACAACCTGAACAGGTAGGAAGACTTTGGCAAAAACTGACACCCTATCTGAAAAACAAAGCAAAGGGGGTTGGGGGACATGGCCCAAATGCTAAGAGTGCTTGACTAACACAAAGCCCTAGTTCAAGTCCTAGTACCACCAAAGAGATGGATGAACACATAACATATGTATGCCATCCTAACTGAAGTATAGAATAAGTACAGAGGTATGGCAGAGAAAACAGTCTACCACAGTCACCTGCTGAGGACACACAAGAGGCCTCTGGGGACAGGCTGTGAGCTCTGTCTGTCTCAGCCTCCCCGGAGCATGGCCATTCCTGAGTAGTGGCTGGCCTGGCCTGACACCAGGGCTTGTGGGCCCACAGAGTATTTTAGGCTTTGTGGACCAAAACACAGAACCCAGGATAATAGGAAATATATTGATGAAATTCAACCATGCAGCTGGTGCCAGTGACTCACACCTGTAATCCTAGCTACTCAGGAAGCTGAGATCTGAGGATTATGGTTTGAAGCCAGCCTGGGCAGAAAAGTCCCCTCTTACTTCCAATTAACCACTCAAAAACCAGAAGTGGAGCTGTGGTTCAAGAGGTAGAACACTAGCTTTGAGCACAAAGAGGCTCAGGGGCAGTGCCTAGGTCCTGAGTTCAAGCCCCAAGACAGACGAAAAAGAGAAAGAGAAAAGAGAGATCCAGGGGTAGTGGCTCATGCCTGT